AAAAAAAAAAAAAAAACAATTATAGAAATCGGTTAACGTGGTCCAAAGTTATGCGGTAACATAAATAAAAAAAAAAATATTACTACGAATTGATAACTCTTAACTTTTTGGATACCCAATTATAAAGTCTCATTTAATGGAGCTAGATGTTTTCATATTTAGTCAATCAGTGTTTTTCGCTCTTTTTCACAGAGGCCGCCTTGGGCGTCAAACTGGATGAGCAACTGGATGACCAGCAATATCGTGGGAGTTTCAAAATGATCGAAGAAGCATTTATCGCACGCATCAGAAATCCATTCTATATGATCGATACCATATATAACGTATTCATGGCGCCGAAAATGGAAAAACATTTGAAAACTGTACATGGATTCTCCAGCAATATTATTCATAAGCGGCGTCAGCTATTTGCGGCAGAGTTGGAACATAATGCGACAAAGGAAGCAAATGAAATGGAGTAAGATTTCAACCTGTTTTTAAGATAATTAATATTAACATTGGAAAATGCCAGAAAAAAAGGTTCGCCAATGAGTCCAAAGTATTTTTGCAATGACATTTTTTTAAATAAAAAAAAAATTTTGGTCGAACATAGGGGTGGCCTTTTTTACATTTTTCCTGGCACGAGTAGATAATTTTTCGTTCCTCAGTTCATTGACCTCAAGTACCTCGTTATAGTACATGCCCGCGAGCCTAACGTACCACCCTAACGCACTACCCTAATGGAAGTATTTGCATTATTCCAATAGAACTACTTAAACTTTTTTTTATAGCCGAATGTAGGTGTCTCCGAAAAATGTAAAAAGGTAGGTTCTGCGAAAAATTTTTGTTTCTTTGAAATTGCCTTACAAAAATACTTTAGGCTCAGAGGTATTCGGTGAACTTCTTTTTGGTTGTTTGAAACGAAAAATGACACTGAAGATGGCACAACGCCGAAACCGGTTTGTCTCCAAACCAAATTTGACAAAGGATGACGGAAAATCGTTCCACAATACATCATATTCGGTGAACTTTTTTTCGCTTTTAAGGTGGTACGGTCTAATGTACATTACGGTGTATGGGTAAAAAAAAATTCACTTTTTTCCGAGCGATTTTGAACACTGCCTAAGAGAGTATTTCAGAAGTGTAAACATTTTTTTCAGCACCTTGTAAAAATACATACATACATAAATAGGGTTTTCTATAACATTCTAATTTCATGTCTTATTTTTGTTGTGATACATATCAATACCAATAATTTGTGCTCTTATTCCATTCAGCAATAGTTTTGGCAAAAAGAAACGCTACGCCATGTTGGATACACTCTTGCACGCCGAGCGCAATGGACTAATCGATCATGCAGGCATCTGTGAGGAGGTGGACACATTTATGTTTGAGGGATTCGACACCACATCGATGGCGCTAATATTTACACTAATGAATCTATCGCTGTTTCCGAAAATGCAGGAGCAATGCTATCAAGAAATACTCGAATATGTCGATGGCAAGTATAGATTGAAGTAAATTTCACATTTTCAATAGCAGATATCGCAGAATCCCTCGCTAATAGATTTTTCGTGAAATCTACGAAAAGTCTATTCCACGAAAGTCGAACTAGTCGAATAATTATTTTTTTTTTCAATCCAATTTATTTCCTCGAACAGCTGATCTTAGTAATTTAGACGTCAATCAATTGGGTAAACTCAAGTACCTGGAGTGTTTCGTGAAGGAGACTCTACGCCTGTATCCCTCCGTGCCTGGTATAATGCGAAAGGCGATACGTGACACATATCTCGCCAATAATGTTTTTCTGCCCGCGGACACACAAATCTCCATACATATTTTCGATATACATCGCAA